TTCTCTCTCTCTCTCTCTCTCTCTCTCTCTCTCTCTCTTACGTCCCTTACAATGGGAGGAAATACCTCAGTTCCTCCTCCTCACACTGGACCTTCTTGTGTTGGATGTAGATGTGTAGAGAGAGAGAGAGAGAGGAGAAGGATGGTGGGAGGGAAATATGTGAGTCATAGTTTGGGAGAGGTGGCTCTGATGTTGGAGGAGGGGCAATGAGAGAGTGAGAGCGTATATGAGTGCATCTGAGAGAGAGAGGCAGTCGGAGGCAGTGAGAACAGTGCACAGGCATTTCCTGTTTTCCCCCCGGTCCGTGGCACTGCAGGGCCGCGGGGGGGTGGGGTCTGAGGGATAGAGGTGAGAGGAGGGGCGTGTGGTAGTGGTGTCGGGGGTATAATAGGCAGGTTACAGTGAGGAATTCATGCGGTGAGCATCTGAGACTGTCATTAGGTGTGGGCTAGACCTCCAGACAGGAGCGTGGGGGGGGGGGGGACATGTTGAAGAAGCTGTGGCCTTTATCCATTCTTGCATATTCCATACACCTCTTTGATCAGTGAACGTAGAAGGAGGAGAATCTGTGATTATTATTTTTGGATTTGTGCATCAAGTTATTATATTGTTATATGTCCTTATAACTTGTCAGTATTTGAATCACCAGAGGATCCACAGATCATAAAACATATGAATTAGAGCATCCTGGTGCACAACTATTGTTGGCGTCCAATCTCAATAGGAAAAGTCAATGTGCAGCATGTGCTAATAATTTGCTAACTTCACTACAACAAACTTTTAATAGAGCCCAATGCACCCTGGACCATTTTTAATTAGTTGTGTGCTTGATCTAGCAAGTATTTAGGATTATGTCTATTTTCCAAATAAAATTGCTCTTTAATTTAGACAAAACTTGAATTTAAAAACAAGAGTCCCCATAATGTTTTAAACCTCAAAAGTAGTGATAAGGGTGCAATTTTATACAACCTGTTAATAGGTTTGATTTGTTATCCAAGCACAATTTCTATGTTCATTTTGACGACACAAGCAGAAAATGGTATGTCCTTCTTGTCTGTCTCTTCGAAAACTTAGATTCCGTGAAAGTAGATGGAGAGATCCGAAATGATGATAAGTGTTTAACTTTAGGTTTGACATTAGTCTTGAAGAGCCATTTGCATGTACATGAATCTAACTTCATGTTGTTAAATTGTTGTCCTTAGGGTCTGTGGTTCGCCAACCCGGGGGAAGCAACAGCATGCCGAGCCGGACCCACAGCTCCGTGCAGAGGACACGCTCGCTGCCCGTTCACACCTCCCCACAAACCATGGTCATGTTCCAACAATCCGGTATGAAATGAATGAAAACATGTTTAACATTTTTATTTATTGTAGTTTTTATATAGTTATATAAACTGTCTAAATATTTCCATTGCAACACCACAACTTTTTTCTTCCTTTTTCACGCTTTTAAGGGGTTTTTCCATAATATTTTCATGTTATATCAGTTCGATCATGCGTTTGAAGATTTGGATGACATCACTGACCTTAATTCTATCCGCAAGCATTAAAGTTCTCTATAGGGGCCTGTGAGACTGAACGTTGAGCGACCTGACCAAGCAAGGAGGCAGAGGCAGAGAGTTCAAATATAACCCGGTGTGGGCATTTATTACTCCTTGTGGTACATGACACAGCCTCAATCTTACTGTCTCATGTGAACACAGTCACCAGCAACAAGGATCTCACACACACTACCAGGAAACACAGACTAATCAACCAACAAGACACAGGTGAGGGGGAGGGGACAACACAGGGCACAAGGTGAACACAATCAACAACAATGAAGCTATGCAACCCGTAACGGAGGCCGAGATCCATGGGCCCAGAGATCACCTCCGTGACAGGGCTTCTGGTTGTTAAATGTATGTAAATATTCACATTAAGGCGAACCCATTTTAGTGTCCTTTCTGCAGGTTAGGGCTGACAATGTAGGTACTACACGTTTATGATTAATCATTACTTTCATTAATGGAATTGTAGTTCATTGTAGAATAGTAAATGTAATTATTGTCTCGCTTTTTTAGAGACCATTTTAAACCTCACATAACATGCCTCTTGGCTCTACATTTGTAAATGACCCCCATGACACATTGAGATTCTTTAAACCACCTTGTCCCACAACACCACTAAACAGCGAGGTGGTTTAAGATGCACTTGACCACATGTCTTTGTAGTGTAAACATAAATGCGTTTGGAAGCTGTCCGACAAAGACATAACAGGAAACTACGTCATCAAAGCGAGGAAATGACGCATGGCTTTGTTTTGTTTCTTCTGCTTTTCTCTTATTCCGTTGATTCTCAAACTGCTTATAAAATATAATAAATTAACAACATGAAGCTTACTAATATTACCCAAGACCAGAAACTCTTACTCCACGGGAACAAAGTCCAGTAATAGGACAAGCTGGGCTTCCTCCACTCATGTCACACACACACACATACACACACACACACACACACACACACACACACACACACACACACACACACACACACACACACACACACACACACGCACACACACAGCAGACATGTTCTCTTTTTAGAATGAAGAGGGAAAACATATTTTAAAAAATCAGGAGGGAGGAAGTTAGAGGGAGAGAGGAGACTGTATGTGAGAGAGGAAGAGATAGAGGCAGGCTGGAAGGGAGGGAGGAAAGAGTCGGAGGAGTCTCACAATGAGGGTCTTTGTGCAGCGAGGACACGGCTCCCTGGCCCACTTTCCTTCTCTCCCTGACTCACTCCCTGACTCACTCCCTTTCTTAACTTTCCCTCCCTCTTCCTCTCCCATCTCTCCTCCTTTGACAACTCTGCAGAGTCATGCACTCGTAGCAGTCACTCTCAACAGCTGTGTCTAGGTCAGAGAAACTGATTTGAAAGGCTAGACCCCCCCCCCCTCGCCACGACCCCCACCCTCCTCTTTGCATATATCTGCAATCAGTCTTCCTCTCTGCCAACAGATAGACTTATTAAGTGAGAGAAAACGAGGGATGAAGGAACAAGTGTGTGTGTAGGATTTTGTTGTGTGTGTTTGTGTCGCTGTTAGTCTGTGTGGACAGGGGGAGGGATGGGTGGGGCTGGGGGGTGTTGGAGGGATTTGGAGCCTATAAATAGTCCAGTGTGGACTACTGGGCCTAACTCAGCCTTTCTCTCTGGCCACAAGGGATTTTCGCTGCCCGGCGTGTGTTGAAGACTCAGCTAAGGTCTAAATGGCTGGAAGGGTTGCTAGGCTGTACTGTGGCCCAAATACAACCCCCCCCCCAACACACACATACCCTCACCTCCAACCTCAACCCAACCCTCTTAAAACAGTCTCCACCCTGTTCACAGCCGACCGAAACGATCAACTGAGAGCTAAAAGAATAAAATGAAAAAGAAAGTGGGGGCTTTGACTTTTGTGTAAAGTCTGATTTATCTCATTGCTGATATAAAGATATTAATATAGATTCTTTCATTGTATCCTAAAAATGTTGTTACTAGTTGGAAACTCTGGAAAGAATTATGTTGATATTGATGTTCAATTATTTTCTGAATGAATGAATTCAGCGAAATGTTGAAGACCAACGTCATGTGTAGAGTTGCTTGTTTTGTCTAACCGACTGGTAAAACGTATTTAAAACAGGATTGCTTTTAATACATATACTGTTGACTCATTCCTTTTTCAACTCATCCTTTTAACTCTTACCAATTTCCTTTGTCCAAATGCATTCTCTTTTCTCCCATCTATCACCATGGCTTTGCTTACATTTGTATAAAGAGTGATTTCTTACTATTGCTTCTTAAACACAACATACATTATTGTTATTTTAGACATTTCTGGCCCCAGAAATCTGCGTTGCTGCTAGTATGAATAGTTTTCATGTAAAATATTTGAAGATCATTCATCACTCCTCCAGTGATCTAAGGCCCTCAGGAGTAGGAGATGCGACTTCGCGGTGCCATAAGATTAAGAACGTATTCTTGATTTCGGTTGGGGGAAAATAATTGAGTGTACTGACTAAAACTGGATTAACACTATTCTATATATTCAGTAGTCTATAGTCTGTTCCATTGTCTTTATTAGTCATGGCATTTTTGAATATAGAAAGTAAGATCTGATCATATGAGTGACAGATAGTTACAGTGATATTTCATATAGCCATGCAATTAAGAGCAAAGAGCATCAGTTACTTTCCGTTATTTTGAGACAGTAAACTCAATCCAGTCTCAATCACTACACACAAAAGACTGCGTGATCCGGCTGTAATTGTTTGATGTAGCATGTGTCCCAGTGCTGGAGTTAGCAGTGTGGTATAATCTGATTATAGAGTCTGCACTCTGGTCGAGTAGACTTGTACCAGTGGACTGATCTGACTGTATTTATGTTGTTCTTTGCCCACTCGTCCCCTGGTGCCGTTTTAGCATTATTATGATTCTGCTTGATTTTGATGCAAGGCCTCGGATTAAGAGTGTGAGAAGTCGTTCAACATTTGTTTGCAGCTTTCACCACATGAGAAACTAGTAAACCATGAAAGCATGAACACTGCCCTGGACAGGATCAACTGCACAATAATTGACTCAATGAAGTTCCCTTTACCTGCTACTGTGACAATCATAATCAAGATATTTTGTTAGAATCATCTCTTTAGTCCGAATATACGTGAGTCACTAATACTGATGTTGCTTCATGTTTGTGTTTGCTACTACAGATCTTCAGCTTCCAGTGACAGAGCCAGACATCAACAATCGCCTTGAGTCTCTGTGTCTGAGCATGACAGAGCACGCCTTGGGAGGTAACAACGTTTTGACTCTTATTATTAATATGTTAGTTGTTCATTAGCATGTGATGCTCCCCACCTGTCACCCTCTCTCTCTCTCTTACATTACATGAGCACTATTTTGCGATCATAGAGAAATGTAGTTCTTCAATACCCAGTACATGGTCATCATATCAGTCAGGTGTCTGGTGACTGCAGACTGCAGTGTCTGTCCTTTTTGTTCCAACTGAATTATCTCAGCTGTTGAAAAGGAATCCACTTTGGTTCCAGGCTGCAGTGGCACGGTTTGATTTGAAAACTTTTTCAGTTTCAATTTCCTCATTTTGTGGCCAGGATTTGTTGTGATAGAACGGCACAGGTAGCAAACAACTGGATGAACCTTGTAGTGTTTATACCACACTGTATGTTGTGAAATGTCCGAGCTTCTGTTAGCCGATCTTACGGGCTTGTATCATACCCCGAGTTAAACTTGTAAACATGATACTTTCAGCTTCAGTTATAACATCTTTTGTAAATGCCAGCAGTTGGATCCGACCTAGACACTTCTGCGTTAACTTTTAAAACCTAAAGCAAACTATAAAGTGTCCGAACATCATATCAGTCAGTCAATTAGTGAAACATTTTAACAATAGCTCGCCTAAGTTGATCTTAAAAATACTGATGTTAATCTGACTGTCCATTCCATCATCAGCTTTAGGTCTGGAGGTGTTTCACCCATCAATCATTTCGGACATGTTGAAGCCGAAGCAAGGGCTTTGCCTTATATTATATATTTTGGTGAAGTTTGGTTCATTATTTTTGGTGAAGTTTGGTTCTGTAAGTGTATTTCAAGTGTACTATGTATTAATTTATTGAGCTGTACTTAAATCAGGTTTTAAAATGGTTTGACTGATAGAGATCATGCAATGTTATTTGTTTATTGATTGTTATGAACCTGTCTGAGGACCACAGATGGAAATGAGCTATTAGCTATAATTTGGCATATTGCATCTCTTCTCTTTGCTGAGATGAATGTTTTTGTATGCACGGTCCTTCTATAAATAAATACTACAAAAAAAAAAAAAAATGGTTCCAAAAGTCTACAAGTTTGAAATATTATGGCAATTAATTTAATTTCAGTCGGGAGTTCAGCTCCAAAGGTGAATAGAATGTGACGATCCACAGACAAAAGATGGTTGTAGCCAAGTGCCAACCTCCAGTGCTGAAAAATGAAGCCACCATCCATATGCCAAAAACTGCAGTTCCTTCAATCCCCATTCAAATTGAAATGCCACATTTTACAGCATGTTTACTGCCTGGCCTAATTCTTTAGATAATTTCCCCACTATTACAACTGTTGAGTGGGTGAATGATTGAATAACTCACCCATATAAATGATATTATTTAAGTTACTCATTGTTGCTCAGGTTGCGGTTTGTTTGACCCGAGCCACACACATAAAGAGAGACCACATCTATTATTGGTGCTCTTGGTTTATAGCAACATGGAAACCACTAGAAAACAATCTTTTCAAAGCTATGGGAATTTGAAAACCCTTAAATGGCCAACACTATGAAAATGCCTGAAAACACATAAAGAAAACCTAGATTATAGTGTAGTTGACATGGCATACATCGAGTCAGTCATTGGCTGACCTGGCTTGTGCAGAATATTCCCATACAGTGAGTTTCAGTCTGGGTTAAAGTCAGTGCCAACTCCCCCCGTCTCAGAGCTGGACTGAGGTCAGGACAGTGGGCCTCAGTGCTCGGAGCAGAGCAGTGGACAAGTGCTGCTTTGTGTGTGTGTTGGAGGAGGTTGTGTGTTTGGTGGAGAGCAGAACCAAAGAGTGTGTTTAAGTTAGGACAAACTCAGACTTTCCCCTCCTTCTAGTCTTTTGCACACCTAGCCGGCTGTGGTGAGCTTCACAAACACGACTTGGAAATGATTTGAAACACAATGTATCATGGGTACAAGAAGAAGAATGTGGATGTTTTATAACGTCCATTCTTTATTTTTCTGTGTGTGGCATCAACCCACCCTTTCAGTGTCATGATGGAATCAAATATTCTACCAGTGTGTAGCTTGATAACATTACCCTCCGAGCCACACCAGAGGCAACCTGTTGTTTTCCTCTGCACCGCTTTATCAGTATTTATACAGATGTGTTGTTCTCCCATCATGACAGTGTGGGCTCCGGACCCTCACTGTTCACCAAGTCAGAAAACGCCTCAGGCCTTCCATCACTACTATTCTTCATATCAGATGGGATTTAATAAAACAGAGCTTAATAAATAATAAATAACCTGTAGCCAAAGAGCAATGGTTAGAACGCGGTAAGAAGAAATGTACTGCAGGAAAGCAACGAACAAGACAAAGAGAGGTACTTGTATATGTAAGAAGGCTAATACATATGCAAGTACATGAGAAGTGTGGAGAAATAGGTTTCCTTGTTTGAGGAATGTTGTCTTTTAATTCCACTGCTAACAGTTCTGTCCTCATCAGGACCTAACTGTGATAACACTAACCCTACCTGAGTACGCTGATTCCGTTAACACGTCTGGCGTATAGAGTCGAGGGTCCTGATGAAGACAGAACTGTAACATTGAACAGAGGATCAGTGGTTTGGATCCCCAGACCCTGCAGTCAACACGTTGTAGTGTTTTAGGCTAGATACTTGCTCCTGTAGTCATGGTTATGGTTCTGAAGTTAAGTGGAATAAAGCATCTGCTCAACGACGTGTTAACGTTTCTTCCTCTCTCTGCTGTTCCTCTTTAGACGGTGCTGATCGCACATCAACGATATGAAGCGGAGACCTGAGCGAGAGCAGTGGGACGGCGCGGGTTCACGAGGCTCTCTCACTATGAGTCACCTCGAGGCCACCAGCCCTCCTGTCCCCTCTGCTTGTAGCCAACGGTAGAGCTCAACCAAAGGATCGGGGCGGGATCCAAGACCCCCCAGAGAGCGCCATCATCAAACGGCTAACGCTATCACATTGGCACCGTCCATCGGGGCGGAAAAAAAAACACTTCCTGCTCCGCCAGCATCTGGGTGAGGAGAGAGGACAAGCCTTGAACACGGCCTGGACAGTGTGTGAACAGCGCCCACCCCCTGACCCTGACCCCCACCCTCCGGCAGGCCAGAAGCAGTACTGCAGGCCAGCAGAAGGGAGACGCTGGCCTGCGGATCGGGGCCCGGTAACACTGAGGCCCCTTCCCTCTCCGACACCCTCGGACCCCGCTTCCCCCCCCCCCCCCCCCAGCACATCATTGACCACAGCTCGTGGCATTCTTCAAATCCATTACAGTACCTCAGAGCCAAAAACAAGACGAGCTAAGAGGAAGTTTGGGATTTCCTTGACTGTATTCGTCCTGCAAGGATGTTTGTAGAGCTCGGGAAGGTCCTCTTGCTCAGTATTTGGGGGGGGGGGGGGGCAAAACAAAATCATTTATTTGTATTGTATTTATTGTTTACATAATGATGCTACTTTCAAAGGGTACAAAAACATGTATGAATTTCAGGTATGAATCGTGACATTTTCTGTAAAGCCTTGGCTGTCTACCAGCTTTACGTCCCGAGTAGCCATCACGCTAGTTTACAACCAACGTGCTTATTCTTTATTTTAGCAGCCAAGACATGTCGGCTTGAACAAGAGAGAGACCGAGAGAGGAGGGAGAGAAAGAGGCAGGTGTGTGGAGATGAGAGGTAGGAGACAGACACAGGAAGTAGTAGAAGAGAGAGTGGAGCTGAGGTGAAACTGGAAAGGGAAGCGGATGTTTAAAGGAGGACGGCGTCAGAGGCGGGACCTCTGATCAGCCGAAGACGACCGAGGAAGGTGACGCCATGTCTAATCATGTTGTTCACGTGAGCGAGTGTCGGAGGAAGTGAGTTTGGCAGCGATCAGTTACACATTGTTTATCCACAGCCTGTACTGTATGAACTCTTTTGAATTCAGAGCCTTTGTAGGCAACAGTACATTGAAAATGTAGAGTTTTTTTTTATAAATGGGAGATTGATATTGTCAGTGGGATCTGGCTGCATGTTCAGATACTGGGTTTAGTTTGTTTTTTTAAAGCAGGGTGATATGCTTAAGCTGCATGTTACAACTAAATATCTTTTTTGGGGGGTACAGGAAGATTGTGAAATGTGGAGAAGACGACAGAGAAAACAAGAGTGCTATTTGGTTTCCACTCAGACCATGTTGCAACATGGCAGAAATCACACACTGTCAATCCATGAAGGGTAGCTTTCCCAGAGATTGTCTCATTAGTGCTTACCTCCACCTGCTGGCCGACCGCAGTCAGAGCGGCGCAGACGCCTGTGAACACGCAGGCAGATTATACACCGATCATTGATGAGCGTTATAATTAGGAAATGTTAATGCTGCAGGAAATCCTCACAGATGGCTGTGTCACATGGTCTTCTGTCTGCTCCGGGCCGCGACAGCATTTATTTTCTTTCTTTTTGAAATACTGACTCTTCTGGTTATTCTGTGTCTTAATATTTATCCTCCGTTTATTGTGTCTGATAGACAGACTTCATAAGAGCAGATTGATGGAAAATAAGCTGGTATGAAAACTCTCCAACTAAACGGTCACCATCCAGGGTCATTGATTATTATTGTTTAGTGTCCTTAGTTTGTTGCAATTCTATAATACTTCCTTTGTATCCTGCACTTGATAATGTGATCCAGAGTCGGATCACGTGGAGCAGATTGGAGGCAGAAGTGGAGCGGTAGAACCACAACAGGTGGCCATTATCCCGCCGCTTTGATTCTTTGAGTCTGACGGTGGATCTGGAGCTGAAGATGCTTTGTCTTCTCATGTCGCTCATCGCTAGAGGACCATGCCAGGGTTTGTGCATGTTATGCTCATTAACAAACCTTTTAAAACACTCTGTGTTACTATAAACTATACTTATGTTATGTGTTTCCAACCTTCAAGGTTGCACAGGAAAGAAAATCATAATGGAAATAAAAAAACACTACAGTACAATACATTCAGTGTGTGTCTAAAGAGCTAAAACATGCAGAAAGACTGATGGTGCCTGAGAGTGGATCAGCGGCTTGAAGCTGCAGTCTGGATCAGCGCGCACACACACACACACACACACACCACAGGACAGTGTATGTGTGTTAGTGGCAACAGTGCACTGCCTCAGTCGTGTGTGTTTTCTGCACCTTGAGTCTGTAGCCAATCAGAAGTGGTCTGTACGTTTGAAGATGAAGATTCCACCAAAGCATGAACTGATGTCACACCTTTCTGTCTGACGCTCTTCGCTGAGAAGCATCGGAGCCTGTTCCGATGTCACTGCCATATGAATCAGTACTTAAAGTAGATACAATTATTTATTCTTTTTTTCATAATTTTTGCAGAGGTGATACTTTTACTCATTTAGGTGTATTATTATTTAAAGTACCATATGTATTAACATGTTATGGCTGGTGACCATACGTACATCTCAAATATTAACATAGTTATTGTTGACTTTGACTGTTAACTTTTCTTTCTCGTCGTCGTTGCTGTTAAACTATAATCTTGTTTGTATCTATCAGTGTCATGTTGAGATTTGTTTTCATGTGAACTCGGAGCGTGATGCGTGTTCAGTTACCAAATTCACTTCAGAGGAACCAGAACCAGCGGGGGTGTTGTTGTAGGCTTTGGCATGCCAGGAAGTAGACTGGCCCATTGTGGTCCTGAGGTGAACAATCTAGGTTGAAATGTGTTACTTTAAAGAACGAGACATTATTCGACATATCTTAATGTCAACAAATCCTATGAAAAGACCCAATTCTAAAGATGTAGACTTTCAAAAACTTGGAGGAAACGGTGCATTTGTTGGGGACTATTTCCAGCAGCGGATGAATCTATATTTGGTGCTACTGTATGGATGGTTTGAGGCAGCAGGACATTGTATGATGGATTGACTGAAATGAACTACAGTGGTTTTGCATTGTAAGGAAGGAACATGTCAACCAGCGCAACAGTGAGGCTTATCCATCTGTGTTTGATAAGAGTGTTATAGCAGAGACGTTATATCAGGAGTTGATGCACAGTGTTGGTTTTGGTCTTTTCATAGGATTTGTTTATGTTAAAAATAGTAGAGAACATCACCAGACCTGTCCTTTACACATCATGTGTTAAAGATCAACCAACCTGCAGTCTGTAATGTCATCAAAGGGATTATTGAAACTATCGTACACTTGCAGTATTTTAATTTACTTCACCTTGCCATGTTTGAGTTATAAAGGTGTTGAAACTAAGTTTTTAGTTTAGCATAAAAACACTACTTGTTGTCTGACTGACAGCATTCATAACCTGAGTTGATGGGATGTTTGTATGCGTGCAGAGTAACATAGTAACGTTACATGTTGTGTATTTGCAGTCACAGAGCGTCTGTGTGACGGGACAGTGGAGAGTTACAGCTCTGAGGGTCATTACACACATCTCTTCCAACCAAATGCTTTATTTGTTCTAATGCGTATCAGCTCTGCTCACTGCAGTATTAACCGTTAGATATCGCCTTGATATTCCAAAAAAAACATTTAATGTACTTTAAGTTGAGACATATATGCTGTTTTGTATCTTTTACTTTTTGTCATAGGTTCTGCAGTTTTAATATGTTGATATGGGATGCCAAGATGTCTCTTTTTCCCTGTGTGTGCAGCAGCATCCATTCTGTAACTAGGTTACCGCTTGACTGCTGCTTTATTTCATTTCGTTTTATTTTATCAAAGAGCCGATGTCCTGTATTGACTGCAGGCTTACATATATATTTGACAAAAGAATATTGTATGTTTAATAATAAAAAAACTCAAAAAGACAAAAAAGTGCAGAAAAAAAGAAATGGAGAAAATTGAAAGAAAGAAATGTGTAATTTATATTTCCAAAGTGCATGCACGAGGCGGGAAGGTCATATTTAGAATAACAAACGGCAGTGCCTTTTTTTGTACTCGAGACATTCACCCCAAATGTAAATGGTTTTATATAGACTTTAAAAGCTGTTGTGTTACAGGATGAAACGGCTGTGTCGGGCCACACTCACACTGCAGCTGCACGTCCCCATTCAGACCCCCCCCCCCCCCCCCCCCCCCCCCCCCCCCCCAGTGTTATGTAGATAAAGAACAGATGAAAGTGTTAACTCATCCAAGGATTGTCTGTAAACCTGATCTACATGAACATACTGAACAAATGAAAGAGAGTTCATTTAGATTTGAGGAGACAACTTATAATAAGATGACTATTTTCTTAATTAATTTGTCATTCAGACTCAAATATTTCCTCCATTAGTGTTCATGTGACAGTACATCAATGTGGCAGCAATACTGACCATATCAAGCAGAACCTGAAACCATGAACACTGACTTATACTCTCTTATTATACTCAATTGTATTTAGATTCGCTTGGTCCTTACACGTAGACCAATCATCTAAATGAATCCTCTGAGGACACGAGTTGAGGATCTGGAGAGAATATGATCAAGTTTCATCAAAATCCAAATTGAGCTAAACTCAATAAGTGATGTCCAGTTTACTGCACTTGGTTGAAAATAAGTATTGTGAACTCTAGGCCACATTTAAAGCATCTTCATGTTTGATGTTTGCTGCTCTCAAAAGCTAAATGTGATCAAACACAAAGTTGATCTGAATGTAGCGTGGGGGGTGCAGTGTGAGCGAGGCCCGGGCGGTGATCTGGGTCTGTTGTTTTCTGTCCGCTGTAGGTACTTAATGCTGATATAAAGTTATGAATTGCTCTGGTCTGTACAAACATGTGTGAATGAGTGTGAGTGAAAACATTCAAGTGTTATTAATGTGTCTTGCTGTATCTGTGTGGCGACGTACCAGAATGCTGTGACTTGGCATGCCCCCGTTATACATAAAGAACAGTTGTAACTCCTCGTGTGTGTGTGGTGTGTGTGTGTGTGTGTGTGTGGTGTGTGTGTGTGTGTGTGTGTGTGTGGTGTGTGTGGTGTGTGTGTGTGTGTGCTGTGTGTGTGTGTGTGTTGTGTGTGTGTGTGTGTGTGTGTGTGTGTTGTGTGTGGTGTGTTGTGTGTGTTGTGTGTGTGTGTGTGTGTGTGTGTGTGTGTGTGTGTGTGTGTGTGTACTTGGCCGTTTGTAGTGTTTTAATTCAAATGAAGCACCTATTCCGCCGGTGTAGATCTGCAGGTTTGAGATGGATTTACAGCATGGAAAACAATTTAGCGCTTGATATCATACATTAAAGAACAAAGAGAAATGTCAACTGTTGGATTTCCCCTTTCACATAGAGTTATATGTTTGTGTATGTAAATGAATGCAAAGGCTACATTCCCAAAGTTCCCTCCAGAGGGAGTTTCTCTCCCACACACTCCCCCCACCCCGCCTGAAACTCCTCCATTGGACTCCTTTGTATATTTCTGTAACATAGTGACATCACTATGTTACACTCATGCTTCTATTGGCTAGTGCTCCAACACATTGTACTTGATAGGCTGAAGGGTGGCACATATTTAAGCCCTTAACCAATAACATTAGAGCTGGCACATTTACTCACACACACTTCATGTCTTAGTCTTTTATTTTCGTGCCACTATATATTTCTATTCTCGTAGGTTGTTTTTTTCCAATAGCTTTATTTATTAATTTGAATAACTTCACAAATCAAGATTTTTGCAAACAAAACATATGATTCTATGCTTTTTTTATTTTTAAGAAATCATATTTTGTCCCCCACATATTAACTAACAACCAAGAAGATCATTTTAAACATATTTTCACACACTGAAAATCGTTTAGAGCATGTAGTGAGCATAAACATGAACATTGTCCAGATGCTGACCTTAACTTTGAATCAAGACTACTTGGAGGAAAGGCGTGCACTATTCTGTGACAGTGTCTTATTGATATTTACCACTGGAGGGTGCTACAGTCGTAGTGACTGCATTGAAAAACTAGTTCATATTTATAATGCATTCTTTGTGATCCAAATGTAACACAAACCAATCACTATATTATCAGTAAGGGTGCGATACCATACACTCCTATTGTGTCTCTTCGTGTCAGTGACACATTTTTACACTATCAAACAACAGTAAAGCCTGAGCATGTTCTGTGGGTCTTTCACCTCTGGATGTCCTCAACCAGGTGACGTCAGAACAAACTATGAAGGTTTACAGTGTAGAGTGTAACACACTGAAAACCAGAGCCTCTGCTTAATGAAATACATGGATGTGATGTAACAGGTCTGAGAGCTGCTGAGTCATGCCTCTGTCAGACATCCAGACCCCGACCAGCTCACTCTGGGCTCAGGGCCAGATGAACCCTCTCATTGGCCAAGGGGCGTTAAAATAGAGCTGTGGGCCCCTCTTGTTCTTCACAACCAGTTTGGATCCTTCCATTTATGTTTAATGGTTTCTACATTTTCCAGAGTTATGAGCTTACTGTTGCAGCAACAGTTGCTTCCAGCTGTTACAGGTTCAGCGTGAACCTTCAGCCAGAACAAAGGTAACAAGTAAAAACATAAATTCTTCATTGTTACAGTACTCCGTTACCAAATATACCGTAAAGAACACATTATGGAGAATTATTATCTTTTCTGAATAGAATATATATTATTTTACTGGATTTTGTAATGAATTTTTTTAGTAATCCTAATACCTGAATCAATTCTTTAAAAAAAAGGAGCTACATGTTTGTATGTGGTACTAATGAATCACTTTAAAAGATGTATTATAATATAAATAGCTAACATTTACACAGCCTTTTTGTATCGTGTAGCTATGAAGCTAGCGGAGAAAGACAATATAATGGGTTCAGTTTAAGTGAACACACATGTGAGTTGTGTGTGGTGTGTTGTGAGGAGACACACACTTGTTGCTGTCACATAAAGATTTATTTTCTTTGATTAAAAATCTGGAATGAACAAAGTACAGAAAGTGACACTGATGGTGAAGGCCGCCCTTCTCAACAAGGCCACAAAAACAACAACATCATCAGAGCCGACTCTTAGGGCTCATCTCTCCTTGAAAACACAGACACACACACACACACACACACACACACACACACACTTAACTCCAGTCGCCACATTTCACGAAATAAAACCTTCCAAAATTAGTCTGGGGACATCATTACGCAATCAAATGCTACACGTGAAAAAACAAAGTCACTAAACAACACACACACACATTTAATTTGCCTCTTGAGAAATTCAAAATGTTTCAGTTTGCTTTGAGACGGTGAGTATTCATAAAGAGGCGAGTTGGCACATACAGGCTGGTCCGCGCAGGACCGTCATGTTATTTAGAATTTATTTAAAAACGTAATGTGAAAAATGAGAATACTGCTTTTTCTCTCAGATGCAGATGTTTTACTGCAGGTAATCCAGCGATGTCCAACACATGCATACTGTGATGAACCATTGTGTTCATCAATGTTGCAAACTGTTTTCTATATGTAATCCTCCAATAGTAAACACTGCTTTTAATCCTCTAATATTCATGTATTTGGGAGACACATCATCTCTCACAAAGCTTCCCTCAGCCAAACATGTTTTCTGAATTCATCTCAGACCAAAAAAGTACATTATTTTAAAGTGTTGTTGTCTTTTGTCTAACTTGGACAGGTATGAGCTACTTTTGGCCTCATGATGTTTGGTGAATATGTCTCACAGTGAGGATACTTTACACTACTATGTAAAGGGATTTCAAACAGTCTTCTTTTCAAACTGTCCCCTGTATTTCCAGGAAAACAAAAAACCTCACACAGACCAAAGAGGGGGCAAGTTTGTCCTTTTGTCCTAAAAAGTAAACAACATGTTAATCTGTGGCCTCCAACATAGAAATCACCACGGTAACGCTTCACCTTATCTGACCGATACAAAGAGTTGGATGGAAAACAGTCAGGAGTGGAATCTTGTCTCTGCTGTTGGTGAGATGGAAACACACACACACACACACACACACACACACACACACACACACACACACACACACACACACACACACACACACACACACACACACACACACACACACACACACACACACACAGGTAGCCCGTGCAGGTGGAGGTAACCCCAGGCAACAGGGGGATGAAGAAGAGCTTCTTCGTCCTCAGCTCCTGATCAGCGTCAGAAACTCATCGCGGGTTTTCGGATCTTCCCTGAAGACTCCCAACATGGTGCTGGTGATGGTTTTACTGTTCATCTTCTGAACGCCTCGCATCACCATACACATGTGACTGCAGAGAGGAAGAGGGGGGGGGGTAGAACAACAGGCAGAGGGGCGAAGGAAGATAAATATAAAAGATGAAATGTAAAATACATATAGTTTAAAGGGGTCATATTATGCTTTTCAGGGTTTCCCTTATATTGTTATATTGGTTTGTGTGCATGTACATAGTCTGTAAAGGCCTAGCTTCTCTAGGAAATGATGTGATTGGCAGAAGAGTAAAGGTGGAAGAAAAGAGGAGAGAAATGAATTAAGATGAAGGAAATCAAACCAAACTAAAGGAAAAAGGAATGATCAGATATCTGACCCAGTTGTTAGTGGACAAAAGTCTACGTACGTTGCCTCGATGACCACCCCCACCCCGGTGGGCTGCAGGGCCTCTGTGATCGCCACGGCTATCTGTTTGGTCAACCTCTCCTGAACTTTGAACGGACAGAGGGACAAACATGAACCCGGTTAGACAGAACAAACAACATGAAGTGAAACAAATGAAAGCACTGGCCTGACGGATCTACGTACCTTGTAGTCGACGGCTGTAGATTTCAACAATCCTGAAAGGGAGAGAAAGTAAATGCTCAGTCGATAAAATATCAATGCCTTCTTCCTCTGTGCCCTACAGCTCTATTGTTGTCAAATAAATAATACAATTAAAACACACAAGCTGGAAGGAAGCAGAAGGAAAATGAACAGATCTGGGACCCGGGCATCACCTCCGACCTGTTGCTCTTCTCTGTGAGTAAAACTACTTCAGACACTTTTCACCTCATCCACCTCCAAGGAAATGTCAACAGGGCCAAACGTGCAGCATGAACAGAGGTAAGGCATTCTTAAAGGAAAGGAAAAGTGCGGCTGCATACAAAAAATAAAAAGCTGCTTCAAAGAAGACGAGGAAATGCCCTTCGTCCAGTCAGTCGTTCACTTATGAGGAATTACGTTATCAAAAATATATTCTCACAATATTTCCACTGTTTGCAATTTGTCCACTGTTGTTCCACTTTATTATATGTTATGTTTACTTGAATATATATTTAAGATGATTAATTAAGACCCTAGATTTACGAAGCCATGATTTCCCATGAAACAGTCCCATAGTATTTCTTCATTGAAGTCTCAGGTTGAGCAGGACATGAAAGGGACATTTATAAGATTCAATTAGCGCCAATAAAATGTGAATGGATCAGCTGTCCTCATCGTCGTCATTGAGGGGTGTTACTGCAATAAGCCTGAAGGTATTGGGGTCAGTCGGATCAGATTCTACACTAGTAAACACACACACACACACACACACCTTTTAATAATCAGCTTACATTCACAGATGCTCTCACTCTTTTTCTCTCTCTCTCTCTCTCTCTCTCTCACACACACACACACACACACACACACACACACACACACACACACACACACCTTAACAATTAGGGTAAATGGACTCACCTGGCCAGCTTACTGAGGCCCAGAACTCTCTTGTTGGGAAGGTAACCGATGTGAACCTGCCAACAGTGGGATTCAAAAGATGAAGTAATCTAATAAGAGATTAAATAATTGGGATGAATTACACAGTCTGCTTTCAGTAATGAAAGGACTCGTGCATCTCATGTGAGCAACACTGCTAGATTAGATGTATCTGTGGGCTTTCACTGCCCAGCTTAGTTGGCAATGATTTCACTAATAGCAGCAACACACATAATTTCAGATGGAGTTCATCATGTGTATTCTTTCTGGAAGAATAGCATGCGACATGGGGAATTCAATTGATTATCTAACATGCAACCTTACATTTTCCCGGGGGGCCCAATTGGGGGCGTCAGTACAAGTTGTGATCACAACATCAACATTTTCACCCAAAAAAAATTGATTGTGTCCGCCTGATGGATGTAAGTCCGATAATCATACATTGTTAGCTCTGTTTTTGGTCTCTACCATCTCCTGAGGCAAATGTATGTTGGTCCCTTCAGCTGCTGATTCATCCTCTATGTTCAGGAGTGTCTGTCTGCTGTTTGCTAGGAAGTGTACATTGGGTTTTACAGCTGATTCTCTGGAAACGGCTGCCTGCTGCGGCTGAAAACAACACTTTAAGAGTTAACAATGATCTGAAAGGCAGTTTAAAGCTCTGCAAAGCTGAGTCAGCAACATACAAACTGCCCTAGCTTTAGTTTGGGTGCAATTCACAGTTTATATCAACATAATAGCTTTGTCATGTTTTCCTCCTCCAACTGAAGTTTTGGCTCAGTGTTATTTACTTTACTTCAAGAAAATTCCACAAAAATATAAAAAATGTTGTGGTATTCCCGAAAAAGCAGATGTTTTCGCTTAAGTGTACTTTAAGTTAAGTGAATAACAGTTTTAAAACACACACTAAGCGACCAAAAATCTAGATGACACACTGAGAGCAGAGCAGGTGGATGAACAACAGACGAGAGGAGGAAGAGACGGAGGCATCAGCTGAAGAATCACTGCTGTGGATGTCTGGAGGCTCTAATTCTCGTACGCACACACACACACACACACACACTCCACTCAAATGTCAGACGCAATTTGAGACAAGACGAGAGAAAGGGCAACGGAAACAAGCGTGCAAAGATCTCTTTTCTTCTGTTTCCTCCCTCTCTACTGGAGCGGCCTGACATATCGACATCAAACAGACCGACTGTGACGGCTCCTTCTCCACTTATCTTTCATGCGGTCTTTCAGGCAAATCCTGGGTTTGACGATAGGGCACGGTTAAAAATAAATAAATATGTTTAATTTAAGCAAATTTAAGATAAAAGCTTAAAAAAGCTCTGATTGATCCAGCAATAAACAGCTGATGGACAATGTCAGCAAGCTGGGGAAGAAAGTGAAACGTTTAGCCGCTAAAGAGACAAATATTGTTGGTGGAGGGGAAAAGAGCTAGAAGGGGAGTGAATATGACTCCAGGTGAGGGCTGATGTTGCTCTGTGTCTAATAGATGTGCACAGTATAAGCAACTGTTTGCAACATGTTAAAGCGAACAACTTTACAGGACGACAATATGTTTTCCACGGTGTGTCTGCCAATCATTCTGCCCCCTTGTGGCCAAAAATTGTCAATTAATGTAGTGTTAAGTTCCTCCAAAATGTTGAAAAAACTGCCGGTATCAACACATCGGCAGTTAATTCCATACACCTAGCTAAAACTAGAAAAAGCCTTTCAATACTGTTTTATTAATTTAGGAGGATACAGTTTGTGGTGCTGTTAAATCATATTGACTCATATACTGGCTCTTCTATTATTTGGTCCACCCCATTTATATCAATAAAGAAAGGCTAAATCAAAGCCTGTAAAGTTAAATCAGCACCTTACATTAGAATAAAGTAGCATTTATTGTAGAGTGGTTGTATTAGATTACAATTTAAACAGTTGTCCCTAATAAACAGGGAACTGAGTGTAAATTAAATATTTAATCCAATGGCTGCTTTATTCCATCAAATGAAAAATACTTTGGATGTGCATCCCTTCATACGTACATAGCCGTTCATCAATTGTCAAACTTTACAACGTTTGTTAAAGTTTCTTAAAGAGCTGCTGGTCAGAAAACACATCAAGACAAGCAAATGGTCTTTTGACTTAAAAGTTTGTTTTACACCTTCCTTTATCAAAACATCAAAAGATGCATTATTGCCATTTAATGAGAGTTTTAACCTGTTTAGCCCTGATCCTGTTTTTCAGGTCTCAGGCTCGAAAATGACATTCCCAGAATAAATGACCATATCTTCCCTTCTAAAAGGGTTAAATTAATAATCTTTTTTCTCAAAGCAATGATAAACCTGTGAGTTGGATGTAGAAAAGTCAGAATCAATATAGATGTTTTTATTTTAAAGTAAATTCAGATTGAACATAGTAAAAAAAAAAAGTCAATTATAGTGTCCGTCCAAAATAAAAACATTACTTATAGTGAAAACCACCCTTGAATGATGGGATCAGAGACTAAAAGCTTTAGGAATCCAAACTACAACATATAATAAGTACCCTGTATCAAGATTGATGCAAAACAAGTGAAGTTTGACCTTTTTAGAGAGGTTTAGGAAAAAAAACGTACTTCTGGGGTCATTTGGGTGCATTTTTCATATCTCTGGCCCCCCTCGTTCGATTTTGATGATTGACATCTCTTTTTAACCATTAGAGCCAATGGAATCAAGGTGAAGTTCCTAAAATCCATCTAAACATTACCCATTGGTGAATGAGTGATGCGTAGCCAGAATGCCCCGGAACCGGAAGCTGCGATACACTCTGGTGGCTACCATTAGCAGCTAATAAAAAATCTCCGATTTTTACATAACAATTGAATTATGGATTATCAATAATTTTTTCAAAGTGACAGACACATTGGATCAACCTATGGATTAACCTTCAGCCGCGTTTTTTCTCGTTTTAATGCCATTGAACACGACTTTTGATCAGAATAACAGCTAAGGTGAGACGATCTCCTGTGAATGCTCCGTAAAGCTATGTGTTGTGATGTCTGTGTTTGCTTCCCCTGTCGCGAGTTCTGATCGCTCAGTGATGATACTAATACCTATATAATCTGTGGAATCTCAGCTTTAATCTGATATCTTGTATGTGCAGTTACGATAAGTCATAAGGGTATTCTTACCTTGAGTTCTGTGCTAAGTGCGTTAGCATTTTTTCGCTCAGGGGTCATTTAGATGCTTCTTATGAAGTGTTTTGTGTTTTGTTTTGGTAAAAATGGTTCGTATTTCGAGTTAGCTGAGTTTCTTCTCGTTAATCTGGTGTGACACATTAATAGGTTTTTAAATATTAAGAAGCCCCCTGGCTGAGACACAGTTTCGTGAAGAAAAAAAACGCAGCCCCCTCTACCGGCGGCTCTCGGGCTTAACAGGCTGAAAATTAGGCCGTTATTTACAGTGTAGTTTATCTTCACAGGTTGACAGCCAGTGGCTAATCTCAGGATAAATGACAGCATGTAATAAACTGGAGTTGTGCTGCAGACACTCAAAGAGGAGGAAGAGGAAGAGGAGATGAGTCACTGAGACACGTAGATGAGAGAGGCTAGATAAGAGGCAACGCTGGTGACGAGGAAGAGGGGAGGGAGGATGTTTAGGGACATAAACAACCACCTGATGGCCATCATCCACAACACACACACACACAGTAACACAGGAGGTGTTGTTAGTGTGTCATTCACTGCTGTCATCAGAGCCCATTTAAAGCGGTGAGGATCAGCTGCCAGCCCGTATTGTCTTAAACGCTGTGCACCTGCGGGTGGGTGAGGGGAGCAGTGGGGGGGGGGGGGAGGATCAGAGAGAGGGAGGAGGACAATCAGGTTCCTCAGTGGAGAGTAATGCTGTGAGCACAGCAGGGAGGGAGGGTAAACAGATCTCAGCTAATCTGATTGTCGCTCATGTTGCTGTTGTTCCGATCAGCGGCCCTCTGATAAAGGCTTCTCAAGATACACATCTCTCACCATGTTTGAGACAAGTTTTTGTATTAAATTATCGATATTTGCAGCTTCCTCTTGGAAAAAATGGCCCCTTTATGATCAGAAAGCAAAGCGGCTCAGCTGCAGATAAGATATGTTTTTTGTATTTGACCTGATGTGCAGTTTACTTTTTGGACTGTGACAATGCGCTGTGTACATGTCTTCCAATGTGCTGTTTGACACTGAAGACAGCATATCTGGATGGACAATTGTTTTCCATGGCAACCTTTGTATTTTATGTTATGTGTGCCAGTGTGTGTATTGGATTTCGGGTCCGTGTGTAGTTGTCTCTTGTTAGAGATTATGTTTATATTTTTTATAATACATATGTATCATGTATCAGTTTCAACATTCTGCCTGTGTAAACTAGGGATGGGAATTTGAAAGCAAATGTATATTCGAAAAAAAACGGTTAACCGATTAACCGAAATGTACATATCCTATAAAAAAAAAAAGATGTGGGAAAAAAATGTACAATATATTTTTATTTAATTTTGAAAAATAAATAAATACATGTTCAAATAAGTATAAAAACCAAGTCGAATTTGTCAAATGTATTGAACTGGTAATCACAGTTTGAAAAGTTGACAGCTATAGGCCTACAGCTTTCATGCTTAAAACATAACTTGGTTTTTAAATGAAAGAGGGATCAAACACGAACAACATAACCGGTTAGGTAACGTAACCCTATTACAACAACCTATAACAGGGTCTATGCACAGAATGCAGCTATTCAATACTCATTCTTGTTTAAGAATATGAGCATGTCTACTCAGGGGAGAGGCGGGTGTGGAGGCGATTCACAATCAGGCCAGCTGTAGAGATAGACCCTCTCAGCTGGAATTCGAGCCTAAGATGAGGTTTGAGTCTGTGTGATCGTAGGGAGGTGCAGCAGCCATATCATTAGCTAGAACTAGCTAGATCTGATGGATTTGGACATAAACACGAGTGAAGTATAACCGGACGCGAGAGAGAGAGAGATCAGCACCTGCAGCTCTACCCGCTGTGAGGGACCGGTGAGCGGAGCAAAAC